TCTTCACACATCAGACAGCTCCCTCCTAAAAATCCAAGAAAATGCTCTGAAACAGTATAAAAAAAATCCAGAGAAGAAAAAAATACAAACTACTCCAACTTCCCCTTCCGTGGGATTTAAGATATGACAAAAACACAACTCCTGATCTACAGAGGCTGACAGTGGCTCCGTCTACTCTTGTGCACGCTGGAAGCGGGCTTCTCACCATGTTCTCCCTCCCAGACCCAAAAAGCTACAAGGAACACTGAAATGATCTCCATATGTTCATTTTAAAGGGATTTTAAAGTCTAAACTAGTTCTTTTTTTTAAAAGAAAGATACCACAGTCAGCTGCATTATTTCCCTGCAGGGAATTATTTTAGGGGAAAGACTTCTCAAAAGCCCATTGTGGTCTTGGTAATATACAAATAACTTACCTTTCCTGTCACCAATCCAAGGGATTCCCTCAAGTCTAAATCTAACAAAAGAGGAGATACTGTTGCCCTTAGAGTAGGAGGCGTTTAGTTACTAAACCAGCAGTATCTTTACAGATACTCGCCTCCCCTCTCAGATCTCTGGCAGTTTTTTAGTCAAGTCTTCTTCCTACGAAGCAGTCAAAACCATACTACTCAAAGGACTCACTAGCCCAAATGTTCCAACCAGCATTCCTACATTTCCCACCAGAAATCCTCAAAACAAAATCAACTGCAAAAAGAGGCCAAGGGTGTTCCACGAGTGTGCATGCGGACGCCTAGAAGAGGCCACCATGAGCTCAGGGTGGCCCAGAAGTTCCATGCGGTGCTGCTTATATGGTGACTGGGGGTCTAGGATTCCTCACCAATCCAAGGGATTCCCTCAAGTCTAAATCTAATGGGGATCTGATGGGGATCTCGAGGGGGCTTGTAGGGTTGGGAGGTCCTCCTCTCCATTTCAGGAAATGCTGGGTGCTGACAGCAGGAGGGAGCAGAAATTGGAGGCCTCTTCCTACCTAGATTGTTCCCCAGCCCCAGTGTCTCAGCGATGCCCATCGGCTAGACATAGCTCTTCTACGGGCTAGCTCAGAGGGCCTTGCCCTGTCCGACTCTGCAATCAGAGACAAAGGTGATGGAAAGAGGGGTGGGAAAGTCAGCCACCCGGTGAAGTACACTTCCTGGCTGCTTGCAGCTTCTGTCTGAAGTCTGCCTTGGTTGAGGATAAATCCTAAGAGGGCTCTGAGGCAAGAAGGGGCAACATCCCGGACCTCGCCTGTGCCCCTGGCCTTGCCATGGACTCCCAGTCCAGGCTGTGACTGCGTAAACAGAAGGCTCCACAGAACACCTGACCACTACTCTCCTCCGCATGCGCCTTCCCTTTTCTTTCCTTCCTCCGCAAGCAGCTCTGCTCTGGAGCAGTCTAAGAGTGTGGGAAGAGACTATCTTGGCAGGATGGTTGTGTATAGCGAAGAAACACTCATTTTCTGCACTTCTGTCTACATGCTGACATACTGAGATAAGCAAGGGGATCTAGAGCAGGTGAGACGTGGTAATGCATGCTGGCCACACTGAACTGACTACAAAGTTCCTTTGAAAGTACAACACTCCAGAATTTGAGGTATAGGCCCTGTTGCTCTTACAGCAGTATATCCAACTAAACAGGGACAATAAGTTAGTCAGTCTTTTTCTCTCTGCTTCTGTCTCAGTGGGAAAATTAATTTTTTCTTTAGCAGATGGTTGAGTCACAGAGACAGAAGGATTCATAAAACTCACATGAACATCCTGTAAACATTTAAACACATAAAGATTAAATAAGGCAACCATGACCTTGATTAAAGTGAAACTATTTTTTTTATGTCTACAATCCTAATCCTGGCAATTTGGAGACTCATCTCCATACCTCTTTCGAAATACCCAGTTCTCACTGAGCATGGCACGCATGCGTGCGAGCACGTGCTGTTTAATCAAAGCTGTTTTAACACAGGAAATAAAAGGCACCAGAAGAAAGCGACATTTCAGAACACCTAAACAGCATGATCGTACTAGTTCTCCATTAAATTGGATGGACTTTTCAGTACAGGGAAAGTCGAAATTAAATCAATAGGTGAGTTACAGAAAACATATTCATTGTACCCAGGGCTGCATCCATCCCTGCCCTTCAGCAGTTCATTGTTTTATCCCCACCAGAGATGTTGGCCCAGGACTAGGTGTGTTACCACTGAAAATCCTGACCTAAAGAGGCTAAATGACTTGTTCAAGCTCGCGAGCAGACCGATGGGACTTGAGCCACGGCCCCTGCTGCTTCAGCCTGCAGCTCCACTGCCACACTGTGAAGACCAACATCAAAGCCACCCCTAAGCCCTCACCACAATCAGCGTGTGAGATTAGCACTGCCCTCCCACAGGGAAGTTTTATGGACCGAATCTGCCGCCACCAGGCTCAGCAGCATAATCTCACCAGCAGCTTACAGCCACGCTTCTCTAAGGCCAGAATACTGCCAGACTCCTGAGAGGGAGAGGTGACATGTAGCTTGAAACATCTGGAGGTGCAGGGGGGTACACATGTCAGCTCCCCTGCACTCTTGTTAGACTGTTTAATAAGCTAAGGCATTGAAGAATCTCCCCGCAGTGTTTGTTACCTGGTGTAAATTTGCCCTTTCTTGCGATGCTTTTTATTGCTCTTGGCTAAAGACACTGGACTAAGACAGGAGACCTGACTTTCAGGCAGGCGGGCTGCTTTGCAGGAGAACTTGAACTTGATGTGTGCGGAGCTGACAGTTCCTTGAAGGTCTTGTCAACCATCCATCCAGTAAATACTGCCACTACCCAGAGTAAAAACAGACCAAAAACCACAAGCACATAACGAGACTCTCTGCACCTGTCTTGAAGCAATTATTGACATTGTCGCTGCACAATGAACCCTTTTTTGAAGTTGTTTTCCTGATATTTAACAGTTTGAATACTAATCCCCTTAACAAAACTATCCCAATGCTTTTCCCCCCACCCCCCACCCCCTTAATCTCTTTTGGGAGGAGGGACCGGGTATCAGGCAGTCTACTTTGCAGCACCTGGATTTGCACTGATTCTGCCTCTTGTCATTCATGTTACCAACAGGAATTAGCATAAGGCATTAAGGGGAAACTCTGGAGGAGAAAAGAAAGGCCATTTTGATGGAAATAAGGGGCAAAGGAATAATCTGCCATCAACTAAAATGCTTATTTGTGTATGGTTTCCCAAGCAAAGCTTAGAAAAAGCCTATGTTGATTTTAGTGTACACAAAGAAACCTTAATCCTTTCAAGGCAACTAAATCACCCCTAGAAAAGCAGCTCAGAAGAAAAGGCACCCTGTCAGAGGGATGACTATTCACAACCAAATAGATGCCACAAATCACACTCTGTAAGTAAACAAAAATAAGAATGTGGGAAACATTTGATTGGAAACGGAGGAGGGAGGAGAGGCGAGCAGAGAGCCTGGAGGGCAAGGGCTCCTCATCAATCACTCTCTATCCACCCTGAAGAGGCTCGCAGGGCAGTGCAGGCCCAGCGCAGGTCCTACAGCCAGCGCCCATTTCCAGGCTGATCCCAGGAAGGGAAGACATTCCAAGGCTTTTTATAGCAAATGAACAACAAAAAAACAAAAAAACAAAAAAAAAAGAAAAAGACACAGTCACATGTGGCTGGAGGTCCTGAGGGTCACCGAATCACAGAAGCCCTGCTTTTGGTGGCCCGTTCTTGCCTGGCCTCCTTTCCCCTTAGCCTTCTTTCTCACACAGATATTCACTCCACTTTCTACAATCCCCTTCCATCATCAAAACGAGTAGTAAACAATTACGCGTTTTTACACACAGGCACCGGATGCTAGGAACTGCACATATCCTCTTTTATTAGGCTTTTAGCATTATGGATAACAAATTTATACAAACTTTCAGTCCATCAAAAAATATGATGAAATATAAAACTGGAACTCTATTATGCAATAAAAAAGGGATAAAATTCAATATGATAGTAATTCAGGGAGTAACAGCAATCCCATAAACACATGCACCTCTAGGGAACTGTAAACATTACGTACTATTTAAAAATGCAGTTAGTTCACATTCTAAAATAATCTGGGAGCTCAAACTAACTGCACTTTTACTAACCAGCTAGCAAACATGCTAGCCAAGGCAACTAGAGCGTGCAGAAATGGAGCCACGTTTCACACTATGAGGGCCCAACCTAGTTCAAGTGCTACCAAGTACCCTTGATGTAACAACAGAAAAAAAAATGACCACAGGAAGCGCATCTTCTTTATTTAGCAATTACCCTACAAAGCCCTAAATCTGGTTCTATAGTGGAAAGGGAAAGATTAGTTTATATAATTTATACCTTTCAAATTATACACCTTTCAAAGCCAGTAATTAGAGACTTCCCTAAATTTCATTATTTCCAACAATACTGCTACAAATGAAAACTGCCAAGAAACCTATTGGCAATGATTTAGGGTAACTTTTCCCTTAATGTACTGCTATATCATTAGCCTCTCTTACTCTACATGGAGGTCTGGAAGAAATTAATGGCATAGGGCATATTTAAATTCTGCCCTCTTGCTCATTTATTAACTTTACAGGAAGCCCACAGCAGACTAAGGCTTGGTTTATGGCCATAACACGGTGAATACTAAACATGCACTCGTGATTACAGTCTGCAGTACACACTGACCAGGTATAGCTCTCCCACTGCGGGGTTGTGGATATGTAACAATCAAGTTAAGGCCTTCTGGGAATCATTCTTCTCTATTATAGCTTCTCACATTAAATTACAGTCACATAGTAAGTAGTGATTTCTCAGTCAAATCCATTTAAATAAGGATTCGGCATATCCCTTTAAAATAAACTTTTTAAATGTGTCACAAAAGCATTCGGATTCTGGCTCGTGCAAAAACACAAAATATGAACAGTAGCTCCAGAATGAAAAGTAAAAGGCCACATTTTGTTTTGCTTTCTTCCTGGCCATGACAATAAGACTAACACTATTAAAAAACACTCCTCAGAAGTATTAAGAAATCTTACCTTTGTTTACAATAACAGTGTTGAAGAGTTTTTCAGAGCTGGCATCTGATGCCTGAAAAAGAGGAGGAGGAAAAAGTGTTATGATTGTCATTGATATTGCAAGCCCCATCATGATTACTATTATTTTGAGCCAGTTTACTACATTTTAGGGAAGTAGTAATTTTTCCAAATCATCCATAAGGTGGTGCTAGTTGACTGCTCGAGAGAGACCTGCAGTGCAGCTATTTGCTGGAGGGAAAAAAAAAATCTGATTTTAAATATGTGTCCTTATTAGACATAATATCTGTGCAAAACATATTTCGGAGATGATACACGAAGCGATTCAGCTCATTCTCATGATTTTCCAATTTCACTGACAGATCATTATTTTGGAAATGGTATTTTTGTGCATGGTATTTGCAGACATGCCTATTTTTCAATTTTCTTCCACGAATCAGAAATGCCTATTATGTAGTGCTAAGCTTTTCCTCCCTAAAGTGTCAACCAACACTGTCAGGTATTAATTTTTTTATAGGCTCATCTAGTGACCCTAAAGATCCCTGTCTCTTGCAATAACCAGGATGACCTTGGTGCTCAGATTGATGCAAGCTGACCTGCCCAAAACCCAGCCACCAGCATTATTTCCTTTTCATTTTCTAGAGATCATGCCTGCTAATTATTACAGTGGCTCAAGGAAAGTGAAATAAGCCTGTTTAAATAGCAAGACTAAAGCCAATTTAAATTATACACTAATGTTCTGGAAAATAAACATGAAGTCGGTTTAGTGGAAATGCTGTAATGTTTCTGAAGCACTGAATATTTCTAAGACTTGAAAAATTAAAAATTTAGCAACCTCATTATATACAGTAATTTGAGGCTGTATCTTCATTTAAAGTTATAATGGTCTAGCTTTATGTATCCTATTTTTTCTATGTAACCCTTGTGAGAAATCACTTGTCTTTCACACTTTATACATAGAGATGCATATTCTGACAAAGCGAAGCATAGAATGCTGAATAAATATGGAAGAAAGAAATATAGGAAGTAGGGGGCGGGGGAAGTCTGAAGAATAGCATATTCTGACTCACTGCCTTTTGGGGACAAAGAAGATATTCTATTTAGTCTTTTCAATGTTACACTGACAAAAATGAAATATTCCTGTGTATTTCGGGAGGACAAATTCTAGTTCACAATGCAAATGACATAAAAAGACATAAGATATCCTCACTATGGCTGTGTTCCCTTTATTTAATTTTAATCTTCTATGGGGTGGCTCAAAAGATTTAGGGGATCAAGGGAGAAAAATGAATGTATAAAATAAGTACTTCAATGTATATACTTATACATATACAGTTTAAAATAAATCCTAGATAGATTTTTTTTTTCTCCTTTGCGGGGATAAAATATACACTCAGAGCCTTCCTGACATCTTAAAACTAAATATTATAATGGCTTCTTATAAAAATGAACTGCCAGAAAAAAGTATTGCATGGGGAGAGAGAAACAACTTACACATCAAACAGATGATAAATACTGAGGTATAAGGTGAAAATTACACGAATGGTGCTGTTACACTAAAATGAGAGATTTCTAGGCATGTGTGAGTTTCCCAGGTAAAAACTTAGCAATAGGAATATTTCATTTTGCTATCCTTCAACAAAAAAGTGTCTCTTAGATTAGCTTGGAATTCTCTTCATGTTACACTTGTGGCTTAAAAAAAAAATTGAAATTGACATTTTAAAAAGGAAAAAAACCCACTTATTAAATCATTTTACCAAGCTCAAAAGCCCTTGACAAATTTGAGGTTACATATTCAAATGAGTCTAACTGGCCCCCAAATAGTAGGTCTTCCTTTGCACTAGGTGTGCATGCTGAAAGGACTCATGTAAGTGAGCAGGCCCTTCGGTTCTGCGCTTCAGACCTTCCTTGGGACCCGCACCTTTTGTGCACTCCGCTGCACGGTACAAACCGTTCTGTGATCCTCTTGTCTAAACCAAACTTGAGGACATGATTCTCATGATGGCAACGAGCAAGTTATGGAAATAAGCCTGATACCTCATTCAGAAAGGCTTAGGAGAGTATGCGTTCTAATAAACGCCTTTTCACCCTTGAATTCCCTGATACGTGTCACGAAGCTTCAAAGGGTAACCAGGCAAAGAGGTGTCTCAAAAAAGGCCTCCGTGGAAAAACCCGCAAAAGATGATGATAGCAATAGGATTCTCGTTCATCAGAAGGATTCTGGATCCCTCTTCCTCCCATCCAGGCGGTTAGAAATGCGGCAGGACACTGTCCTACAAAGTCAGGGGAAAAAAGCTTCTTAGCCAAAGTCTTAAGTGAAAACCACGAGAACAGCCTTCGCCTTTCTTCAAGGAACTTTCCTTGCACCGAACACTTTAAAAGCGTTTGTACAAGTCATATTTTGGCTCCTCGTATCTTAATCGTAGGACAATTCTCATTTTCGTCACTTTCAGAAATGTCTACATTTCCCACCATTACCACCATCATTTTCCTGGCCTTTTTTCCTCTTTCTTTCTTTTTTTTTTTAAATGAGAACGACTAAGCGTGGTGAGCCGAGACGAGCCGGCGGGTGCAGTCTTCCCTCTCTCCAACTATGGTACCTTTCTTTGCACGCCACGGACTTTCAGGTTTCACTCGCCATTTCTTTTCTCTCTCCCTCGCTCGGTTTTGGGGGGTAAGAGCACGAAGAGACTGAACTCAAAAATGCTAGAAAAACTGAGGTCTCTTTGGGACGTATCATGTGGGAAGGAGGGGGGATTTTTTTCTTAATACTAAAAATTACTAGAAGTCGCATTGGTTTTAAGGAAAAGTTAAATAAGCAGACCAGGAGGTGAGGCGGAGAAAGAGAAAAACGAATACGAGCCTTCCGTGCACAGGGTGGGAGCCCGAGGATCTGGCTCCCGGTCCACCCCACGTCCCTAAGGACTCGGACCCCGGAGCCGCCCTCCGCAGCCACATCAGCGGGGGAGCGACTTTCGAACAAGCGGAGCGAGCGAAAGCTCTCGGAAACTTAAGCGCGAGTTCTTTCACCCGCGGCCAATTGTGAGCCCGGCGGTCCCTTCGCTTGCCCGGGCACCGCGTGCAGGCGCGGACCGCGAGCTGCTCCAGAAACCAGGCCCTGAACCCGCAGCGCAGCTGGCGAGGACCCGGGTCGGGGAGCCCCGGCTCCACCCCGCGGGGGGCTCGGCCGCGGCTGCCCGGCCCTCCCGGCCCCGCGCCGCCGCTCCCGGGCCGAGCCCCGGCCGAGCGAGGAAAGTACAAAGGCGGGGGCGGGGAGGGGGCTGAGGAGGAGCAGGAGGGGGGACGGAGGGGGCTCGGGCGCCAGACGCCGTCAGTCCGCCCTGCCACCCCTGCCCGCGGGCCCGGCCGCCGCAACAAAAGACCCCCGACCAGGCCGCCTCCCTTCCGACCGCCCGCGACGGCGGGCGCGCGAGCCGCGCCCCCAGAGCTGCATTACCTGGCCGCGAGCGGTTCGGCGGTGCTGTCAGCCCCAAGTTCATGGTTTGAGTCCTCAGCAGGGCTCCCGGTGCGCGATCGTCAAGAGACCGGGAGGGAAACCACCAAAAACACACGCAGAGAAAACGCCCAACTCCAACCCGGCTCTGTCCGCGGGTCTCTCCGCCGCTCCCTCGCCAAAGTCTGAAAGCGGAGCCACGCCAACCAGATCCGAACCGGGCGGCAGCCTCCGGGGCGGCGGAGCCCGCGCGGCGCGCATCCAGCGCGGCCGGGTCCCGGCGGGGGA